TCTGTCTGTCTTTCTGTCTGTCTTTCTGTCTGTCTTTCTGTCTGTCTTTCTGTCTTTCTTTCTGTCTTTCTGTCTGTCTGCCTGTCTTTCTGCCTGTCTTTCTGTCTGTCTTTCTGTCTGTCTTTCTGTCTGTCTGTCTTTCTGTCTTTCTGTCTTTCTTTCTGTCCTTCTGTCTTTCTGTTCTTCTGTCCTTCTGTCCTTCCTTCTGTCCTCCCTCCCGTCCTCCCTTCCTTCCCTTCCTTCCCTTCCTTTCTTTCTTTTTTTTTGCCTGAGTGATTACTCAGAATTTGAGATCTTGCTGATTTTCTAGCTATGAAGGAAAACTAGTGATGGGTAAGATAAGATGGTGCTTGTCTGCACAAATCACTTATGATAGTTAATCCAAAATAAGAAAAGATATGGATTTGTTAAATGGTTTTAGATGTGTCTGAGGATATTTTGGTTCAAAATTAAAATATGACCTGAAGTCTGCTTTCTTGGTGTCCCTACCAATGTGAGCTATGCTACACCAAATTAATGCCTTTTCAGTTTTTAAGAAATGTGTCCTCACAATGGTGTTTAATGCAGTTTTAACATACTTATTTTCAAAGCTGATTTGCAGTAACTTTCCTAAAAGTTTCTCTCTGGAGAAGCCTATATTGCAACTCTGTTTATTTTGAAAAGAATGGACAGTGTACTATTTCCCTGAACACAGCAGGCATTAAGCAACACGAGTTTCTTTGCTCATCGATCCAAGTTGGTTTTTTTCAGTCAGCACTTTACACAAAAGTAACGCCTCCAGGACTTCTATTCATTAGCTTCAGTTCCTCCCAATATTTGCTCTGAGTGTCTCCTTGGCTTTCCGCTCCTCTGTTTCTGTGGAATTTCTCATAGCATTTTTCTGCCACACCCAGGCAGACCTGCCAAGTCAATGCTGTAGTCTTTGAGCTTACTGTATGAGTTCCCTGGATAATCCTTTGAACCATATGGTTCAGCTCCTGCTCACATTTTCTCTGCAGCCACCCACCCATTGGCACACTGGTCCTTTGGCTATTTGAGCATGCCACTCCGTAACGGAGTTCACTTGGGTTTTGCGTTCTTCCTGAACAAGAAGCAGTTGGTTTACACCACCAGCTTCAAAGGGGTATAATCCAGTCCATAACAAGTGCAAGGCAAACTGCTTATGGATGCAGGCAGAACATTTGTGTGCATTAATGGGAGTACAAGTGGTTGCCTGACATACAGGGTATATTTAATAAGTCAGAAATAAGCAGACACTTTCTAAATATAGAAAAACTGACAATCTTTCATTTGCGAGCATCACAAATTCCCTTTGCTTATTTTGAATAAGTAGCACAAGGCCAATAACATCTGGGTTCACAGGGATTCCAGTTTTAAACATAGCATCTCAAATCTCTGCATCCTATAAATCAGTATGATCCAGGAAAACACTGTTGACTTGCACTAGCTCTGGTCTGGCCTGACAAGAGGTAATAATGTTATTGTACTTTCTCTTTTCAAAGCAGAATTAACCTGTGACCAAAAAAGCCCATTTCTGCTTAAGAGAAGAATTACTCTGTTGTCACTTTTCCTGCAAGGCTGTATGCCGAAATAACAGCCAGAGTCTCTTTTTTCATTGCCAGTTGTAAATTCAAGCCAAGGGTAATAAGTGTAAATATAATAAGCTTTTCACTCATGTCAACCCTCAAGTGTTAAGTGGACCTTAGAAGAAAATCCCTGAATGAGACTGGGATCCCATCTTAAGCAGTCAGGATGTTACTTAGCAGCTGCTGCTTGGTTGGTGAGGATTCAAGTTGTCCCCATGTAGGGAGTAGCTGCATTCTGTAAACTGTGTTCTGCTTAAAGAAAAGGTAAGACCAATCAGATCACATGTTTTCTTATTATTTTACTCCTGTCCAAAAGGAAAAGAAATATACCTACAAACAAAATCTGTTCTGTCAGGTACGTGGTAGATGGTATGACCTTGTGATATGCAACACTAGGACTGCATGTGTTTATAATTATAGCTCAGATTTTGCCTAGGTGAATTTGTGCCCTCTGAGGAATGTGTTTATGAAGAGCACTTTACCTATTTATTTTTGTTTTAGGGGACTATGGGCTACCACAGCCTTGGTATTTTCCTGTGCAGGAATCTTACTGGCTTGGCTCTAGAAACCCAAAAGCTGAGAAAACAGCAACTGCTGATGGTGAGTTCGTTCAAAACTTTGGTCTTTAGAAATAATTTCAAAACCACTGATCTGCTTAGAGGTGACTGCTTAAGATTTCCATTGCCTGAGCTGCTGCAAAGATTAGAGAAAGCCATACACTGGGAATCTTCAGCAGGTGCCTTTGAACTTAGAGTTACCTGCTATTATTAGAGTTATTAGAGATGAGTCACTGTTCCATCTGAGAACCTTTAAAGCATGGGTTAACAAGCAGCATCAAACCCCCACACTCTAACCAACACGTTTTGAGACATTCAAGGAGTTCTTATTGCCCAACACAGCATTTGTGAAATGAGTCAAAATTAAATACAATGTTGATCTTATTTACACTGAGGCTTCCCCATCTTTCAAAACCTGATTATTGTCTATTTAGATTGACAATAATTTAAGTCTGTTTACTTCGGGTTTGTAAGCAAGATCAAAATTGGTGCCACCCTTGGACCAACTTGAATGAGAGCCGAAGTCCCGCTTTTGAAGATTTTTTTCTGTACATTGATACTGGAGTAGTTAAGAACAACATGTGGGTGATTGTATTTAAATAGGAATTAATACAGAATGATGATTAATGTCTGGAATACAGGCTTGCTGAAGGTGGTGCTTTGAAATCTGTCTTAAATTTACAAGGTAACAGTGAAATTAATAGAAGTGACAGATGAAGAAATAATTTCTTCAGTCTTCTCATCACAATCCTTACCCTTCATCAACTGAGACAGACTGCTGACAAGGCAGTCTCATCTCAGGGTGATACCTATAAACCAGAAGCAAGTTAATCCTTTCTGTGAACATGCTGATAATATGTCCACTGCTCACATGTTTTGATCAGAAAACAAGGATAAAACATTTTGCTCAAGTGAAGCCTAGCGTTTATTTTGTAGGTGATGTTACATCAGATAGCTGAGCTGATCTAACATTTCACTGTTGAGAAAAAGAAAGGGGCAATTTTGCAGTCCCTTCCACAGCTCTCATCATAGTTCTGCTGATGCTTATCAGTTCCTGGTAAAATTAAGATGTAGATCCTTCTGGAAGCCATTCCCAAGAACGTGAAGGACAAGGTGACAGGAAATAATGAACATGGATTTACCAAGAGCAAATCTTGCCTAACCAGTCTGATTTTCTTCTGTGATGACTGGATCAATGGACAAAAGGAGAGCAGTGGATGCAATTTAACTTGACTTTAGCAAGAGCTTTAGTATGGATTCACATAGTATTCTGACAGCCAAGATGACTACATGCGTGCTGAACTTTATTACAAAAGAATAGCCATCAGTTCAAGTGAAGTGTTTCTTCCCTTCTAGTCAGCACTTGTGGGACTGCATCTGGAGTACTGTGTTGTCCAGTTTGGGGATCCTCATTGAAGGGAAGACATAGAGTTGCTGGAGGAAGCTCAGTAAAGAGCCACCAAGTTGATTAGGAGCTGGAGCCTATAACATGATGAGACGATGAGAGAGTTGACTCTACTCAGCCTCAAGAGAGAAGGCTAAGCTAGAGCTAGACTTCTCAGATGTGCCTAGTGGAAGCATGAGAGGCAATGGATGTAAGCTGGAACACAGGAATTCTGATTCAATATAAGAAAAAAACTATTTATTGTGAAGGTGGTTAGAACACTAGGAGAGGTTGCTCAGAAATGTTGCAAAATGTCCATTTTTGGAGATCGTCACTGTGATCTGAATTGGCCCTATTTTTTGAGGACTGAAATGGAGATCTGTGGAAGTCCCTTCTGGTCTAAATTATTCCATGATTATCGCAGCTAGCCTGAGTGTGCTGATGCTTATTTCGTTCTCTCTTCTACAAAAACGTTGCCTTGGGTTTCTCAAGCAGGGACAGTTGGAAGGGTCATCTCTGATTAATTCCTTTGTAGGAGGTATGTAATTCTTACCTATTTGAAGAACTAAGACTCTTCAGTGCCTCAGCTTATATGAACAACTGTAGAACTTAATTCATCTTTCCTTCAAGGGCAATACTAAGCATTTTCTTGATTTATTATAACTGATTAATGTATTGGAAAGAAAACTGGATAAGAGAATGTCAGATAATGTAAATGCACAGCTGAAAATGAAGCTAAACTGGTAAATTATCTTGGTACTTGTAAAATTTACTTCTATCAGTGCACTTTTGTGTACCCCACTTTGCCATTTTAGGTAATGCAGTGACCTTCTTCATGTTGCTATTTGTGCACCTGATAATCTTATGCAGTTTTATGGGCTAAAATTTTTTCTAGCAGAAAGTTATGGTGAAATTTCCCAACAAAATTAAGTCCCAGGCCATCTGATAAATCAGAATTGTGCTAATTGCATGCTAGGCTGCCAGCTTGAATTTGTATTATAAAAAAGTTTTTTCAGGGGCTCGCTCTTCTTACATCACTGTTCTTCCTGCTTCAAGCCTCTCCCCATTAGTGATTTTATGTGACTGTTTTCATGCGTGGAAGCAAGGTCCAAGACCAAACTGGAAAGCCAGAAATTCTTGTACAAAAGTTAACTCCAACTCATTCACTCCAGCCTGGAGCTAGTCTCTTAATCTAAGTAGCAGTTTAGCAGTTTGGTTTTCATTTAACCTTTTCATTTTGTTTTTCTTCCTCTCACTCCCTGTAAGTCTGGCAAATGTCTGTATGGCCTTTCTCTTCATGTGGTGAAGAATTCGGTCTAGAGCTGCATGGACAAAATATAAAGCATGTACCTAATATTAGTCAGGATCTTCTACTCTGAGTTTATAATTGCAAAATTGTCAGTGGTCTTCCTTAAATATCTATTCCTGACACTATGAAGCACTGATGATTTATGCTCTTGAAGAGCTCAAGGCTTAGGACTACCTCCTTTTGTTCAAAGCACCTCTAGAGATAAGAGGAAATTAAATTTTGGTTAATTAATTGTTGGTTACTTTTGGTTTATATAGAAAAAAATACAGAGTCAGAAGGCTGTGTGGATCAGAAGGTCACGGAAGGGGAAAAAAATGAAAGCAGAACAAAGAAATCTGAAGAACCTGAAAAGCCAGAAAAGAGTGACAACCAGGGGGAGAAGGATGGTAAAAACAAACAATGTAAACACAAACGAGAAAAAGAAACCGGCGACCAGGGGAAGCCTAAAACAGATGTCCAGGACAAAGATGAAATTAATAGTAAGGAGAGAGAGCAACCTGAGTACTTCTGAGATACTATACTCATTGTACTTCTTAACAAACTAGACGTAGGAATGATTGGCGTCAAACTACAAGAGCCTGGTGGGCTGCAGAGGATAACATGCGACTGCCAGACCTAAGCTTAGGAGTGGCACTGACTGTCCCAGCTACCCTCTTACAGATTCCTCTACATTCACAATCCCTTAGAATATTTTAGCCACCATGCATAAGAGAGCTGCCTTCCAGAAGAGCTCTGTAACTTGCTTTTTATTGTGCAAATGCAGGCTGTTTCTATAGCAAGTTAGTGTTTATGCTGAGGGAAGCCTCAGAGACACATGCATCGACTTCTTAGAATTAAACAGAGACATGACTTCAGTAAAAATACTTATGCTAAGAGGAGTGTTCTTCCCTCCTAGCCCCTCCTTTTCTTGTTGGTTTTTTTTGCATATCTTCTGTGTGTCTGTCTGCAGCCTTTTCTGGTGTTGACATTAGCCACCACCTAAGAATTCCCTAATGACCTGTCTTGTTTTCAAGTCCCAATGTCTTCTTTTGTGGGGAGCCAGAGCAGTTTTCTGTATGTGATGCTCAGAGGAATGCATGTGGATTCTGCAGCAAAAGTAGCTGCTACAGACAGCTCTGGGCCCACTCTGACTCTCTTGAAAAGGTAGAGATGAAAATGGGGTCATCAGAGTTCCTCACCTAGACACTGAAAACATACATTCAGGGTGAATGGAAACAGGAGGGGACTTCAAAAGAAAAAAGACAGGCAGAGGGCAAAGGTTATTTCAGCCAATCTTCTCCTAGTACTGCCTTATCTTTGTGGTGCTGTACTCATCAGCTCCCAGGTTCCAGCTGCTCCATGGCCACAGAGGAAGGGCTTTGCCTGTCACTACACAAAAAATCCTGCCTTGCCTTTCAGCCAGCCACACAGGAACTGGGAGACATGTGGAGAAGCCAAGAGTAGACCTGGTATGGTCCAAGGACACTGTTTCCAAAATGGCTTCATGTAAGAGTAGTGAGATGGGAAATGGAGAGTAGTTCTGATGGCTTAACTCTAGTCCAGTCCAATACTAGCACAGAGGGCATAGGATCAGAATAGAGAAATATGGATCGCAAAAAAGGGAGCTCAACCCTCCACCAGTGTCTTTCAGGTGATGCAAAGCAGATACTGAGGGAGATCATCAGAGGATTTGCCTCAGAACTTGTTAGTGAGTCTTGCAGGCGAATATGAATTGAGCTCATGATACGTTTAAAACCGAGGATGATACCTCAATTGCCAATATATGCAGAACTATTTAGCCAGACCCCATGTGAACTTTTGTAAAGACAAGGATGTTAATATTTGGCCCGGTAAGGTAAAAGGAAGCCTAGATTCCTTCACAAAGCAAAAGGAAAGTTTGTTGTAAACACAATTTTATTTAAAATAAAGCTACCCATTCTAGATTAATTATTTCATCTGCTTTGTATTATACAAACTTTCTCATGTACAATGTATTTGTGACTTTTTGCTGAGTATTGTTTATAATGACAGTCATACAAACCACTGGTGGGGGTGGGGCTGGTTTCACCCAGATGGCATTGGCTGCTCTCCACACAGGCCTGCTGGGTACTAAACAATTTAAATGAACTGCAATTGCAAAACAGGCCTCCCTACAAAGCCTTAAGCATTCTGTGTAAACAAAAGTGGACAGGGTCTTTAGTTTAAATTTCTCATCTCCCATAATCCACATTGCCCAAGGGCTTAATGTACTTCAAAGGAAGTTTGTTTTGTCTAGAAGCTGATGCAATAAAACATCCTGATGGTGCTATTTACAATAATGCATTTTTAATCCTGAGAGAAAGCCATCCCATGTAGTGCTCCTGTTAGATACTATCTAAGTCTTGAGCTGGCCTCAGGAAGGGGGTAAATTTTACCTACCAGGATTGAAGGCTAATGTTGTATTTTTTTAAAGCATCATGGTAAAAGAATGAACAGCTGGGCAGATGATTTGAATGGCAGATTTCAGCCTGGCTAGAAAGGCAACCTGCTGCTTGTTTAATGTGATCTCTCAGCCTATCTAAGTATCTACAGACAACAATCCCAAATAATCTTCCTGCTACACAATAAGAAAGCATGTTCAGCTTCACCTGATGCAGTGAGTTACCTCTCCACAGGCCATTACAATCCCAGGCTCTGCTGCTTCTGTCACTGATTCATGGGTGAATCTAAATAAATTGCACTGCAGTTAGAAATCTTGCCTCAGTTTGGTACTGGTGTGACTGGAAAATGTGGTGTTGGCACACGATGCTGTGTTTTACTGAGTATAAGCTGTTGCTTCTGCACTTATTGATGTGTCATCATCAGAACTGGGACTAAAACATGTTCTTTTATTCTTTTTTTCATTCTTGATTTCTTGCCTTTCAAGTAAATACCTTCTTTGAGCCTGAGCCAACAGGATTGATTCCAGGAGTATGCATTCAGAACCTGGTGAAGATTTTTGCAAACAGGCCCAAACCAGCAGTAGATGGGATGAATATTACTTTTTATGAGGGACAGATCACAGCCTTCCTGGGGCACAATGGAGCAGGAAAGACCACCACCATGTAAGTCTGTATTTTAGAAGAAGCAAATCCAGGGCAGTGCTCTGTTGCTCTGTTCCGAGGAGCTGTCTTCTCTTTTCATTCTTCTCTTGTCTCTCTACCACCCCTGAAGCACATCAGGATTTTTCCAGACAGGGAACTGCTGCCTGTAGGCAAAGAGAAGATACCCTGGATTAGCTAAAGCCCTGGGAGGGAGGCAATGCATGACATAAACAAGTGAAAGTCTAGAGAGAAGGAAGCAGTTCTCTTCCCCAGAATTCATTTCACATGGCCAAACTCCCGATAGGTGAAGAGGGAGAAGGATCTTCTGGCTTAAAGAGCTAAAGATTTGAAAGCCACCACACTCCACTGTTTCTCTGTGTAGTTGGCTTTAAGTCAGTCATGGTTTTTGGTCTTTGTGCAAAGGAATGTGAAATATAGGCCACCTTTACACAGAATGGTTACATATATGCAAGGTCTGTGTCCAGATGAAAATGTTCCTGTAGTCGTAGAACCATAGCGTCTCAGGAAGCTGGACTTTAGGACTGCTTAATTTTCTTTATACAGAATTTTATTTGGCAAAATAGGATTAATTGGTGAAGAAAACATTTCATGAGTCTGTGACAAGCTCACCAAATGGTGAAAGCACTGAAGTGTTTCATTATAATGTTTCGCAGCAGAACACTTTAGGCTTTTTAACTAAAAAAGACTTTTCTTTCAAATGCACTTTAAATTGCCATTTAATTTTTTCATTTGTTCCGCAAGAAAGGTGTATGACCCAAAATAAAAGCATTCTAATCTGCTGAAATGTTTTGTAAATTTGTTTTTCTATTCTTCTGGTAAAAAACAAGAATTTCTATTACTGTGAAATTTTGAGAACTGAAAAATCCATTATCCATCCAAATCTAGCAACAGGTTCCACCTATTTCCAAAGTAATATTTGGCTCCCTTCCATTTTACAGGAAATAAAGGTGCAGAGCATGAGTCAGCGTGGCTGGAGACCTCAAACTGTTATTCTCTATCTCTGTCCTAGTGAGCTTCATTTTAGACCCATTTGTACACAGGGGTGATGTAACATGCTGAACAAACTACTCTGAAACACTGTAGCTGGCTAAAATTGGTTTTTAATGCAGGCCAGAACCATACAGATAGGTGTATCAAAAATTACATTAGCAGATCCACAAGATCCTCACTGTAGCAGGGCAAGAGTATTTGTATGTATGCTTTTTACTGGAGTTGTTTCCTCAAGGCCCATAGTAAGAAGTCATCATGCTCCATCTAGTGGAATCAGGCAATGCATTGTCCAAATCTGGCACAGCAAGATAGGAGAGTGGGAATTTTCTCATTTAATTTTCCCAGGTCGATACTGACAGGTGTGTTCCCACCCACCTCTGGAACTGTGCTGATTGGCGGCCTGGACATTCAGACTCACATGGACTCCATTCGGCACAGATTAGGCATGTGCCCTCAGTACAACATCTTATTCAACCAGTAAGTATCATTCCATACTGGCTTTAAGAATAAGGGTCCCAGTCTACATGCTTAACACATCCCCAAAGCCTGCGTTGTTTCTCTTACTGTGCTGGCAGTAGATACATCTCAGAGGCACTTCTCCCAGAGAAGATCTGTGATCCAGACTTAGGGTGAAGCAACCCTTCTTCCTTTAGTAAGATAAAGCTACAGTGAATTTATTGCTGCTTGGGAAAAAATATGCTTATTCATTTAAATTGCCTTGGTGCCTTTCTGTCTGATTTCACAGCCTTACTGTAGCAGAGCACATCTTGTTTTATTCTCAACTGAAAGGGAGATCCAGGGATGAAGCTGAGCAAGAGTTGGAAACCATGCTAGAAGACATGGGCCTCACCCATAAAAGGAGTGAAGAGGCTCAGAATTTATCAGGTGCCCACAGGATTGTTCTAAGATCTTTTTTTCTGCTGCTTTTTAATTGTCTTTGGTCAATTATTGTTTGAATTGCGTGTTTGAGGCCAAATTCTGACACATCACTGCACACTGGGGAAGTCTTTAGTCTCAAAGAGTAAATAGGACTGTACAAATAGTAAAGCTGGCACAACCTGTCCCTAAAGCTTCTGTTTCTTAAAAATATACAACAAATTCAAATATACTTAAGCTGTTATTTTTAAATGAGTGTATTAAAAAAAAATCTGTTAACGTAAGAAAAAACCAAAATACAATATTATATTATTTCAAGACAATTGAAATATTGTACTATCATGCTGCTCCACTGTTTGGATCAGTACTCTGTAATGCTGTATTATTTGGTAGGAATAATTTCTTTCATTCTAAAGCTACTGCACGTAGTGTATTTGAACACGTTTCACTTTCAGATTCAAAAGCTCATTTGAATAAACAGCCAGGTGGTCTTATACTACTTTGTCCTGAGTGCAACTAGAAAAGTTGGCTAGTTTCATATGAGAACATGAAAATCTCATACCTTGCTGCTTTTGCTTCTGGCAAGAAGCAGAAAATGCAACACATAGACAAAAAATATGTTAAAAAAAATTTTTGAACAAGCTGTTCTGAAGTTCAGAAGAAAAATGTGACTGTTGGTTTAACTTTGCAGAAATACTTGTCTGAGGGCAGCGTTAATTACATCCCTGCCATTTGCGTAACTCATCTCAGACTCCTGAATGTGTCTGTCCCCTGGTAGGTGGAATGCAAAGGAAATTGTCTGTTGCCATTGCTTTTGTGGGTGAAGCAAAAGTGGTAGTCTTGGATGAGCCCACTTCTGGAGTTGATCCATATTCCAGGCGATCTATCTGGGATCTTCTGCTGAAGTATCGCTCAGGTAACAGGTTTGAGAGTAGAAATTGTTTGGGTTGTTTTTTAAAACCTGTTGAAGATGCAGCAAGTACCTGCTGTGTAAACTGCCATGAGTAGTGGGGTATGAATACAAGCAAACAAGATTCTTTGAACAGATAACTATGGACCTGGGACCTGACTCAGATGCAGAGAAAACCCTGCGTTAATTGCCAAAATACTAACCACAGTTTTGAGTTCCGGAGAGAGTCCATGTCTCGAACATTCTTTCTTGTTCCTTCTAGGCAGAACCATCATCCTCTCAACCCATCACATGGATGAGGCAGACATCCTTGGAGACAGAGTAGCCATCATATCCCAAGGGAAACTCTTCTGCTCAGGCTCTCCTGTATTCCTAAAGAACTGCTTTGGGTCTGGCTTCTATCTCACTCTTGTTCGCAAGATGAAAAACACCAGAACTGGAAGGACTACAGTAAGTATGTAGCTCCTTCCCTGCACACATCATCTGAAAAAAGCTTATATGTATTCGTGCACTGCACCAAGATAGAAAGCAGTTAAGTGCTGCTAGGGGTTGTGTGCAAAACTGACTTCAAAATTAAGAAAGCAATGAGCAAATTTGATGAGACTTCATGAAATCATATGGACATGTGTGCATCTGTAAAAATCTTCTCTGGTTTTATAAATATATATTCAGCCAGACAGGTGAAAATAATAGGTGAATATGAAGCCATCAGTGGTCTGTAGTTCACTCTCATCAGTAGAGTATGTCTAAACTTTTACCAGTCAAGTTGCCTTTTTCCATATACAGGTCTTTCTGATGCTTGCTTTTGCTGTACTCTGGCTGTAAATGTGATGTAGTCTAGTAAATAGCTCAGGCACCAGAAGAGTCTACATTTATCCATAGCTAAACCAGCCTTGCACAGCTTGAGAAGTAGGGATCTAGATTTTTTCTGCTGTTAGTAGTGCTTCCAGTCTTAGTAGAAGCATGATCTGTTTACTCATGGCGACTGCTGATCACATTTCCCCAGATATTTTACATGCAATTTAGCTCTGACAGATATTATTTGTGCAGGTGGATTTATGTTTTCTGCATTACTTAATCCAGTGTTCAGATGGCTTTCCATATAATATGTTCAAGATGCTCCAGATATGAGATATTTTTCACTGACTCAAGCCATTCAAAGGCTGACAACCCTTATGTGCTCTTTTGAATGTATCTGAAGCACTTTCATCTTTGTATCTGTTGCTTGTCCATTCTAGTCGCTTTGTAGCTGTGGATCTCAGTGCTCCTGCTCCTGCTCCAGCTGTGCACGCAGGGACAAAGAAGGAGCTCCAGAGCAGGAACTGGATGGTAAGAAGTGGGATTGTTCAGCATTCCAGCACATAGCTGTCTCCTGTCATGATGCAATCTCATCTTGCAAATCAATGCCGCTGAGACCCACTTCTTCAGTACTTATGTCTAGCATTTGTATTGTGTTGTAACATGAATTTAATAAGGTTTCTTTGTGGTTTCGCTTACCATTACCCATTTTGCTTTATATGTGGTCTCAGGTACATATGATGAACTGGAAGTTTGTGTGCTTTGGAAGTATATACTGAGTTTTGAACTACTCAGCACCAAAATGTGTTATTTGTTAAAGAAAAAAGCATATATAGAGCAAAGGAAACCGGCTTTCTCAAAAAAATTGTTTTGGCTTTTCTACCGAAGAGAAAAACTTAAGTAGATATTCATGAAGATTTTGTTGTGCTTTATTAACAGACCTGAAATAGTTTCCTGCTGCATAGTTCCAGAGCATAATTAGCAACGTAGCTCAGTCTAGTACAGAATTAACTGAGAGATCTGTGAGTTATGTAATAGAGCAGTCCCCTTTTGTATAGTGCAAACAACAGCTTTTGAAATCATGCTTAACATGGTTAAATATTCATTCTTTGAACACTGTTTTTTGACTTTTCACAGGGGATCTGAATGAGCTAGCAGAAGTAATTCATCATCATATCCCAGAAGCAAAATTAATTGAAAGCATTGGTCAGGAACTGATTTACCTTTTGCCCAATAAACACTTTAAACAGCGATCTTATGCCAGTCTCTTCAGAGAACTGGAGGAAACATTGGATGACCTGGGACTCAGCAGTTTCGGAGTTTCAGACACACCACTTGAAGAGGTAACAGACATTAAAATACCTGCTGATCTTACCATCAGTCTCCAAAATGTTTTCTGAGACAGTTCCTGTTCTTAAACATGTAATCTTACTAATTCCTCATATCCCCTTCAAAACCTAGTCACGTACACTGTGGCACACTCAGAAAGTCTTTGGAATGGGCGTAGAGAAAGAATCCAAGCCTTACTTCATGTTAGCCTTGTGGAGCATAACTCATTAGCCTGACATCTGTCTCTTTATCTTAGTTTTTTCCTTTCTTTGTTTTCTGAGATATTTCATAAGAGACCTCTGATAGTGTAATAAGCAGTAGTACTGAAAGGATATCTAAATTTTTTTTCTGTTACATTAAAGGATGATATATAGTGTTCTAGAGGTCAGGTTATTGTACCTGTTCTATTCCTCACCAGGAGTTCTATTTGTCTATGGCAGGTTTTCCTGAAGGTCACAGAAGCAGCTGACCCTGGAATGCAAAAAGCAGGTATAGATCCATGAATCAGTATTTGATAAACTTTTCTGGGAGCTGTTCTGTATTCTGAATGCCAAGTAAAGAAGAGCCTCAGAACTTTCAGCATTTGTATGGTTTTTTTGCCAAAATAAATTTTGTCATCAAATTTCTGTTTTTAGGGCTTAACATGTTATCTGAGAAACAAGATGAAGTCAGCAGAAAGAGTTTTATTTAGATTGGATGAGGTTCTTAACTATGTAAATAAAAGTGGAGTGTCAAGCCCCTAGATGTCAGTGGTTTTAGTAGTTTTAGAAAAAGTACTTTGCTGACCATTAGTCCATAAACTACATACATGATTAACTTGTTCATCCTGCTGAGTAAGAGGAGTGTTAACCTATATGATGCCACTAGATACAGCCACAGTGGAACAGTTGTAATTAAAGCAATCTGATGAGGTGATATGTACAGTTGGTAAAATCTGGAGCTCATTAAAATGTTTGTGTTACTTTCACGTATGGAGGATAAAGTGTCTTCTCTGCCCCTTTTCGTCCTAACCTAGGAGACACTCAAGAAAATGGTTCTACTCTTGGCAAAAGTTCTGCTGAGAACAAACCAGCTGATCAAACCACACTGAAAAATAATGACATTTCTCGAATGCCAGTAGGTGTAGCAGGAGATCAAAATGAAGGCAAAGGGTCCCGACAGTATAAGGGTTTTCAGCTTGTACATCAGCAGATCAAAGCACTGCTCATCAAACGGTTCCACCATGCCTCCCGCAGCCACCAAACAACATTCTCAACGTGGTCTTTCCCAGCAATGTCTATGCAAAGCAACAGAGGTGCTGCAAATGGGTAACAGTGTCCCTAACTGTTCTAATTATGATTCCAGCTCTTCTGCCTCTTGTTCTTTTTGTCTAGTGTCTATCACCTGCACCAAGTTCATGATCCAATCTTTACTAGCCCAGAATTTTATTTTTAACATAATAAATTTCTGTGACAATCAGAATCTTAACTGAAAGCACTGGAAATTAAATTGTTTGTGTTCAGGAGCTAAAGCAGATCTGATCTGTGTGCTCTTGCTGCCTCTCCTTTGTTCACATATCTTATGAGGTGTGTACAGTGTCAGTCTACAACATATTTCTAATAACCTAGTGTGATGTTTCCATGTTCCCTGCAGATTGTTCTCCCTGCTAGTTTTGTGTTGCTGTCTTTAATACTTACAGTCATTATTCCTCCATTTGGAGAATATCCCGCCTTAACCTTACACCCTTGGATCTATGGACAACAGTTTACTTTCTTCAGGTAAGAGGAATCGCTGAGTAAAAGTACATCTGTCATATATACACCCTTTTCTCCCTAGTGTTTAGGATCCTGGGGCCCTATCTTATTGGGCTTTTTTCACTCTATTGTGGTATGAAAAAGGATTAACTCCACTAGAATCAGCAGATTTAAAATAGCATGAAGTTGGTGCAAGTGGAGAATACAGCTGCTAGTAGGTCTAATCGATAGTCCTTCAAATATCTTGCTATCTTTGGCACTCTCGTCTTCCTACCTGAGTTCAACCTCAACACTTACAAAGTTACATATCCTGCCTAACTTGACATCCAGAACAGTAAGATATCTGACTGTTTCTGATATGCCATTAAACTACTCCTGTATTCATAATCTTAGAGAACAATGAGATCCAAGCCTATCCGCTGGCCTGTGATAGATATATTTTTAGTTAGTACATTATTTGGACAAAGTTACGGAAAGAAGATGAAATCGGAGACTCTTAGGTTTTATTAAAGCTGCTGCTTAGCAGTTTTTGCCCACATAGTACCCTTCGGCTGGGTCTGAAATTTTTTTTTGTCTGCTAGCACTTTGCCTTCTTTCATTCTTCGTAGAAGCTTCAGTTGTGTTCTCTCCACGTCACTGCACAATTCCTGTCTGTTCTTCTGAATACTTGCTTCACTTTCACTTCCACGTATTCCAAAGCTGAACTTGCACCATGTCAAAACATGTGCCATGCAGAGGAAATTTATAAATGATGTTTAAGTCCTAGACTAAGTTGCAACTAGCAGAAAGCAGCAAAACTGAAGGCAATAATTTTGAAACATTGTCCTTGAGTTTTATACTGAAAATTCACATGAAACTGTAACGTAATTTACACACGGTAGTGTGTGGAGCAGAGTTTGATATTCATACTTGTATATCACTTGGCACTAGCAATATTCTGTAGTCTAATGTTATTAGGTTGTTAGTTGCAGACACTTCACTATCAGCAGCATTGTCTCTTTGGCCTCAGCAAATGAAAATGCAGAATATGTTTTTCATCTTCTGATTACTGACTGACAGGCCTGAGAGGGTAGAAATGTGGGTTCAAGCTTTTTTAGAGAATATTTCTATAGCACTATGTCAAAAGTCTCATGCTTTAATAATAGAAGAAAAGAACCATTGCTCTAGCCTATTAACTGTCTTGGAAGGCTCTGGGGTTTTGCATAAATAAATAAAATAATTGTATTATGACCATTTGGAGGGGCAGTTGTTCTGCCATATGGCTGTCCTTCACCAGTTGCTATGTGTATTCCACCACAATAGTTTGGAAAAAAAAAAATGTAGAGAAAATCCTGTCTTATTCCCTTAGCAATGAGCGTCCTGGTAGTGAGCAGATGGTGTCCCTCACTGATGCTTTCTTGAATAAACCAGGATTTGGAAATCGCTGCATGAAGAATCAGCCTCTTCCGTAAGTTGCTAGCTATTCTCTCTTGAATGAGATTCTAGCAGGGCATTGCTAGTAGAACTTGAGTATGAAAAAAGAATGAATTGATTTGACTTTTCACTAGAGCTGATGCTTCAGATACATTGTTGGCAATAATATCTAATATCGGGTCAAAAGTAACAAACAAACAGCAAGACAACAATGCCATTGGATTAAGAATGATTCACAGTGCTCAGTGTGACTAGCTGGAAGCCAGCTCATGTAGCCTTGTACTGAGAATTAAGCAACCTTGAAATGTATGTCAGCAGGCCAGTGGGCTCAGACTCTGATCTTCACAGCTTCCCTGGCACTTCCCATGTATGAGTCCCCTCAGGTTCCTCCTGTTCCCACTGGTGTGTTTGGAAGTAATAGCTTCAGCAGTTGCTCAGATTGTGAAGTAGTAATTGATCAGTCTCTCTGATTTGAAGATATTCTCACTCTGGAGGACAATGTTAGTAGAGCTTTTACTTTAACATTTGTTGTCCTACCCATTTACCTTGGCCTCTGAGTCCTGTTTTGGAGGCGTTTGTCACTGGCATGCTATGCTTTGTCATTTGTTCCTTTTCTCCTGCTTCTCTCCCAGCAGTGATATCCAGCAACTTGATTCTTCTGGTTGTCCTCTCCTCTCTCTTCTCCTTCCTCTCCTCTGCCTGGTACTGCAGGAATGAAGAGGAAACTTCAAAAAATAAAGAGAGGAGAGATGCTTCATGAGCAAGGAAAAGGGTAGTTTCTTTGCAAAGATATGTGTCCACTGCAGATTTCGTGTTTACTAATTGGTCAAACACAGTCCCCTTGTTCCTTCAGTGCTCTATCTGCAAGCTGAGGACAGTAAACTTGGCAGAGATGTGGAGGAGATTATATTTATTTGCGTTTACCGAGTACTCTAAAATGTTCGTATTATTCATAACTCGTAGGATGAGGGCTGAGAGGAGTATGTCTGCTGAGAGCATTGAGATTTTGTGGATTTTTGAGCTCTCATGAACTGTAAATCTGTACAACATAAAGAGTCTGTTCCTCTACACAGGAACTACCCATGCAATAATATGGCAACTGCCTGGAACACACCTGCTGTTCATCCTAACCTAAGCAGCCTCCTGCTGAGTCAAAAGTGGAGCCCTGAGAATCCTTCACCTTCCTGCAAGTGCAGCACTCACAAGAAACTCACTATGCTGCCAGAATGCCCTGTAGGCGCAGGAGGCCTCCCACCACCACAGGTAGTGTCCCTGTGCACCACAGGTAGTGTCCCTGTGCCATAAATCTTTGTGGAAAAGTTGCATGGCAAGTGCTGGAGTAGGGATTAGTGTGTAAGTACCTTGCCACGCTAATATACATGGAAGGAATGGAGTATATTTTTTTTAAGGGAACAAGAATTGCTGGAATTCAGAATTCAGAGGCACTGGAAAAGCTTGCACATTTAAATGAAATTTGATTACTATTTTCATCCAAATTGCAAACTTTTCATATAGAAGAAATTGACAAAAATGTTAACAGTCTTAGTAGTGCCCTGTATAAAATGTGCTTGCTCTTTTGAAGAGCAAAGGAAAATCATAGCTGTTAGTGCTTACATTTTCTAAATGTTTTTCTAACAAGTTCTAACTTCTCTCAGAGTAGTAGCTCGCTAATCTAAAGTCTCACAATGCACACTGTTCAACTTTAATATTCCTGTTTTCCAGGCTGCACACATTACCCAAATGACTAAAATAATCCTAGTTTTAACATCAATGTCATAAGCTTAATCAATTTCTGAATCCAAATCCATGCCGAGATCTCTTAAAAATACTGGTTCGGCTTGCTCTGATTTCTCTGTCACTATTTACAAAACAACAAAGCAAAGTTGTTTCAAATATCTGTAGAATTCCTGTCCAAGAGGCAAAAAAATAAAATTAATAAAGAGGTTGTATTCTGAACTTATTCACAGCATCCCAAGTTATTTCTGATTTCCAAGTAATCTCTGTCCAATGGACAGCTGAAGTTGAATTTTGCTAATTGCATGCTGGTGTATTTGAGAGGGAAATTTAGTCTAAAACTTCAAATCCAAGTAAGATGCAAAATTATTTTTTTGCTTGTTTGTGGGGATTCTAGTCCTCTAAGGGAAATGTATTTATTATAATATTATCCTGATAATTTTGCAGGATATGATAATTTTGTATAATTGTTGGGGAAAAACAGTTCAAATTTGAGATTTATGTCTCCAAGGAAGCAAAAGTATGTAAATAATTGTGAGTGTATCTGAGTATACACAGGTCATTTAACAAAGGCACCATGAGGATGCAACCAGTCTTCCTGTGTATTGCCTAGAATCAGCTAGACATGTGTGATGTGTCTTCTGTATCATCTGGTACTGCCTCTCTGTGGACAAATACAGGAAATTCTGGAAAGTTCATTAGACTTTCTAGGTTGTTACTAGGTCGTTTCAGGTTGCAAGCTTTTTCCCCTCTGAAACTGCCCAGGAACCTTTGAAAGTATATTCTACTTTGCGATGAACTCGGCAAGTTTGAGGTCTTGTGTTTCACAGTGACCCTATATTTGCAAACAAAGGCATCATGTGGTGTCATTTTCATTACAAAAAAAGAGAGCAATTTTCATTCAAAGTATCTAAAGTGCTAGCGAAGGTGAAGTTTTCATATTAATTTTTACTTCAACTTGCTAAATCATAGGAAAATATCTTATTTTCACTGAGACCTCAATTTCTTTGAAAAGCTTCCTTCTTTCACAGTGAAGAAAAAGCCTTGAGCAACACTGGCCTTTGTTGCAAATAACTCAGGTCAAGTTTCAGAGGGAAGTGCAACTGCTTTGTGTCAGGCATTGCAAACTTCTGTGATTTCATTATTTCTTCTGAAATCTTAGTAAAGTAAGGATGTTTGGGCTAGAAAATTAATGACTCACTCTCAGTGATACTATGAACCTGAGTAATTGCTCTGAACCAGAGCTACCTTTGCTGTTTTCCTGACAGAAGCTGACTTGATAGCTTTAGAGACTGTAAAGTTTATTGATTAGATTTTCTTTTCTTTCCAGAGAGTGCAACACAGCACAGAAATTCTTCAAGATCTGACCCACAGAAATATTTCAGATTTTCTGGTGAAAACATATCCCACTTTGATAAAAAGGAGGTAGGGATGAATCTCTCTTTGTTTTTCACATGTGGTATTTTGTACCTGGCCATTAAATTCTCATTTAAAAATAACACAGCACACGATGTGATAGAGTATTGTGTAGACTTGAGCATCATGTGGATATTCCTGGTGTAAGAATAGGAGATGCTCATTTTAGGGGAGTTAAATTGTTTCAATTATACCTATTTGTATAATCGGGTAATCCTTTAAAGGCAGAGTTAAGTTTCAATGTTGATGGAATGCAATGTTAAAGGTAACTGGGTCAATGGTGAGAAAAACGTGCCGCTGCAAAGCATGGTGAACTGCCTTGCAGAGATACTAGTTTATGTCCCTGAAGAACTGTAGCCACACCAGCATAATCATCCACCTGAGTTAATTATCACTTGCTTCCCAGAAGTGCTAAAGAGCCAAAGGACAACGTTACATAGATACATCTGTCCTACTGATAGCTCCTCAGCTTGCATGAGTGTCATGCATGGTAATTAGCTGCACAGTGGCCATGGCCAGTTATGCCTGATTCAGGCCTTGCTACCTTTTCAATTCCCAGCAGAGTTCTTGAAATTCCCATTATATTAGCTATGTGCTAACTGCCATTGACTGATTCCTCTTAGCATGCGTCATAATTGCTTTAGGTACACCTTTTAAAATTAATTCATTACGGATTTAGGATACAGCCAGTATGTGTCACTTTAGAGATCTTGCTTATCTCTGTATGAGCTGGAGATGAATCACGTCAGAAAAAACAAAAGACCAAAAACCCACTGCAGAGAATACCAGAAGTCCTGACAACCCCACAACTCAAAGTAATAGCAGCAATTAAAAAAGCAAGTGAATAAAACAAAAGCAAACAAACAAACAAAAAACCCAAAAAGCTGTCTAGGGGAAACTGGAGATCTGCAAAGCATAGGAATTCACTTTTAATTTGCATTTGAGCCTGACAATACCACTGACTTTGGTTCAATGCCTGAAGAGACAGGATTCTCTTTGTCTGTTTCAGCTTGAAGAGCAAATACTGGGTCAATGAGCAAAGGTAAGAAACCAATTCACAGATTATGGTGGTAAATAAAGGAACAATGAATTTCTATTTAACTGTGGAGCCTCACAATGTTTCTCTGGATGGGACAAGGGGAATTGTGGCAGATAGTATAGAACAAAGAGATGGCTTCAGTAGAAAACAGGTTGGGAGTCAGCAAGGGTTTTATAAAGACAAGGGGTTTTATTTGTTTGGCCTGGCCCCACAAGGATCAAGGCCAGAGGCACACAATGGAACTGTCACCGTTTTATTATCTACAAATGTCAGACTAATGGGATCTGAGTGATGGAAAGTCACAATACAATACTGCACTGCATTGCAATAGTGCTCTGATGCAGTTCTTTCAAAGTGCATCAGAAAAAATATGAACCCTCAAAAAAAAAAAGGTACCTTGGTAAGATGAAAACTAGATGCCAGCGTATCAAATACAGAAGTAATAATCAGAACTCCTCATCCCCACTCTGAATATGTGCAGTAGTTATGAAACAGATTCCACTAGTCTCCACGCCTACATAGCTAACCCCAGTGTGATGTCTACACTGCAGATACTAAGTTTAGAAAGATGACTGTTTAGCCTGAAAAACAGAAGTAAGCTAGAAGCTGGATGACTGGCTTCCTTCACGGAATGTCTGCTTGCTCATGTGCCAACATTACTTTCTATGGGATTAGATTTTGGTTCATCTCGTGCAATAGTATTTATCATTATGGAGTATTAGCTGGCACCAGCATTTGTGAATACCTGCTTCTCTCAGGGCAACTGAAATTTTAGCTGAGGTTCCTGCTGTCCTCAGTCCTCCATGCTGTTCAGTTATATGTCAATTATCTTGATGTAAAGATTTTGTACTGTAGAAATAACTATTTTCTCCAAATCTTCTGTCTAAATAATAATTTTCTCAGGAACCTGGCATGAACTCCTCAGAAACTAATAGAACATCTATTATTTGTAAGCCCTATAAAGGCTTAGTACAACTTGTTAGAAAAAGAGTGGGGATTGTTAGACATTAATGATATGATGTATAGAAATCAAACCTATGTTAAGTAGTTTTTTAGTATTTCCATCAATGTACAGAATTTTGGGTCTGTGGTACAAGTGACTGATGGTACTGTTCTCTTTGTTAGATATGGAGGAATTTCTATAGGAGGAAGGCTCCCAGTCCTTCATGTTTCTGGAGATCAAGTTGTCAGTCTTTTAAGTGATCTTGGCCGAATGATGAATGTGACAGGAGTAAGCAAGATCTTTATGGTTTTTTTTGTCCCTTTACTAAAGAATTGTTACAAAGCTGAAAACCTGCAGCACCAGATTTCACCCAGACAGCTGATCTTTAGCCTTTTCTTTTTTTTTTTTTTTTTTTTCTTAAATACATGGAAACTGAAGATAACATTAAGGTATTTGCTGGACCTAGTCTGCTAACTCACAGTCTTTCTTGACATAGACTTCAAATTGCGAGAATCTTACTAGTGGCATTCTCAGATGCAAGAAGAACTAAAATACTGTACTTGTAAGTAATATGGGATACAGTGTTAATGCAAAGTTATTTCTAATGTGAGATTTTTTTAACCATGTTCTTAGTACTTCTTGCTGTCCTAAATACTTCCAAGTAGGACATATTCTGTTAAATTTTAAAATGTGCTTCTGTAAAATCCCTTGACAGTGGTTGTCCAACCCTTGTAAAAGCATAGTATGTGAGCTCCTCCTGCTGGACTGTGCCTAGGAGCTACGAATTCCTGGTGCTGGATTCTTCCCTGCTGACAATGCCCACCAAAGTAGATAAAAGGCAGCAAAGTTTTCTCCTGCAGCTCAAGGTTAGTAGTAAAGGCTTCTTAAAATAGTCTGTGCTTTCTGACTCTTTTAGGTGTGGTTCAACAATAAAGGCTGGCATGCTATGGTTAGTTTCCTTAATGTAGCCAATAACGCAATCCTTAGAGCTAACCTGCGGACTGGCCAAGCCCCTGAGGAATACGGGATCACTGCTGTAAACCATCCTCTGAACCTCACTAAGGAGCAACTCTCTGAAGTCACTGTGTAAGTCTGCCTGTGCTCTACTGCTGGCTTTTACCCCTCCCTCCCCTGACAGCTTACCACCTCCAGTGCACTCACACTCTTGAGGAGAAATAGTTCAATTGACAGAACATGGAGACCTTTCTGTGAAACTTTATTCTAATAAAGAATTACGTATACAATCTATTCTTTTCTGTCTCATTATATTCCTGTAAGAGTTCATTCCCCTCCCATGTAGGAGCTATGACCGTTGGTTATACATTATTATATGTTTCTGTTGATTCCCAAGCACAAAGATTCTGAAGTCTTTGTTCATGCTCCAAAGCCAATAGATCTTCTTGTGAAATAACATAGACATCATAATCAAAAAAGGAATCTGAAATTGTCCTGAATTGACTACAGGTAGGCAGTAGTCGACCACCTCTGTCTTGGTGCCAAGGATAGCACACAGGTAGATTTTCAATGGCACATAGTGGGGTTGGTATATTCCGGAATCTAAAAGCCATAATTTCTTGAAAGACACCCCTAAGAAGACATGACTTCCCACTCATGTCTCGTATGAAGTTCAGAAGTCAGTGAAACTGAAAACTTAGCACAGAGGCAAGATCTGCTCTTTATCTCACTGTCTGCAGCTTGTCTCTTCTAGTCCCTCTTTTCCCAGGTCACAGAGCACTTCAACTATTGTGTCTTAATGTCTAGTTTGAGATACACCATACAGGAAAGGCTGTCAAACTGAGATATGTATATGTAGGAGTCCAGAGAATGAAGGCAAGTAAAAAAATCAGGGAATGGATCCACCAACATCCATATTTCTTAGCTACGGTCCCAAACACAACTTGGGAAAATACACTAGCACATTTTGAAATTGGTAAAGTCTTCTACTTACAAAATAACCTTGCTACTTCTAGATCTTAAAATTTCCTCCAGATTCCCCCAGTGCTAATATAGTGTTGTGTTGTATCCATTCCCGTGCTCACAGTCCCTTCTTGTGCTCTGTTGTAGGCTGACCACTTCAGTGGATGCTGTTGTTGCCATCTGTGTGATTTTTGCCATGTCCTTTATACCAGCTAGTTTTGTTTTATACCTGATTCAAGAACGTGTAACAAAAGCCGAACATCTACAGTTTGTCAGTGGTGTGAGCCCTGCAATCTACTGGCTAACTAACTTCATGTGGGACATAGTGAGTAACCGCTGATTTCATAGCCTGCAATTATTCCCGGGTTTGCATGAACTGGGGACTAATCTGTGAACTGAGTGAAGGTGATTCTAAGAATTGCAAAGCATTTGTTTTTTATAGTGTTTCTGAGAGAGCATGCTAAGGATCTGACCTCCTAACTAATTACAGATGTAGAAATTTAGTCAGGTGCACAGCTCATTATTCGACTAGTGAAACTGAAATTGTTGTAATCTTAGGGTTTCCAGCCCTTACAACTGAATGTAATAATGAAGTACACCTCATCATAGCAGAAGAAAGCCCGGTTGACTGATGTTGCTGGCCGCTCCTCCCCTCTAGAATAACCATAACGTGTTTCAAGACATTCAAGAAATATAAGTGGGAGATTCACAGGCCGCTGGAACAGTAGCTGGAGGCCAGACAAAATACTCTAGGGTGTCTAAAATGACACAGATGTATTTGTTTAGGTCACTGAATCATGGTCACCGTGTTGTTCCAAAAGTATTTAGACCACAGGCTCAGGCTTGCTTAGACAGGGCTCACCTACCCTCCCATTACCCCTCAGGCCATGTTGTCACATAGGAGAAAATTCTCTGCCTGGTTCAGGCACAGCGAGGGGCTTGTTTTGTAGCCATGCCTTCTCAACAAAGAGAGTCACCAAGGGCTTATGCAAGAAGAAAACCATGAACATGGAATGAAAAGAATTAAAAAGAAAAAAACTGAAATAATTGGAAAGCCCAAAACTCTCCAGGCTTTGGAAGGTGCTCTTTCAGGAGAAGGTAGAGCAAAGCATTAATTTCGTAAATGAGGGAAAAGAAGCAGGTCCCTGAGTTCCTGTCTGCTGCTGGCCACAGCAGCCTCCCAGCAGCTTCCTTGACAGGAATTCTGCTTGGCCATGGCCCTTGACAGCATGATGCAAAGGTATTAATTGGTGTTTAGCAGCTCAGTGAAACGCTGTCTTCCATTCTGCATGGGGAGCTCTGTGCATTGCAGTAGACTAGTGCTACTAATACTGAACAGAGGAACTAGAAGAGCAGTGGCCAAGCATACTCCCTTTAGCCTCCTCCCAGGAATGTGGCTCAAGTAACTAGCTTTTTCCACCCTACACAGCCTTTATATCACCAGAAACTGCACTTCCCTTGCATACCCACAGCCTCTTTCTGTGGGCAGCCTGCTAGCAGGACCATGAAATAATTGGCTCCCAAACCATAATCTAAGAAACAAGAATATATATTCTATTTTTGATGAACAGCCTGATAAAAGATGTCTCAGAAAAAAGTCGAGTGCTGCCAGGGACCCATTGATCTAAAAGCTTGAGTGTGACTAGTTTAGCTTATAAATTCTGGTGTTCCTCACTACAAAGTCCTTTTGGAATAATGTGTAGGATCCAGATATGTTTGCAAACCTTATCAGGTCTTACACACTGATGTTCACCCTGTAATGTGGCAGGTGAATTATGCACTGAGTGCTGGAATGGTTGTGCTTATATTCGCTGGATTCAACAAGAAAGCATACACTTCTCCGACTAATCTCCCTGTTCTTGTTGCCTTGCTGCTTCTGTATGGGTGAGTGTTTAAGGTTGTTTCTGCATGTAGGGTCCTGCATTTCACATGGAAATGACTTCATGTTATTGAACTCACTACTTAGTGATATCCAGCTTTAAGGAATAAAACTAAATGGGTAAAATACGAGTTAGAACTGGATTCTGTCCCAGCTACAGAATATTTACCCATGTTGTCTGGCCACATGCGGTAAAGGAGATTTTCTTGCCACTGCCTTACATTTTTAAGCATTTAAGTGTTTTCTTGCCACTGCCTTACATTTTTAAGCATTTAAGTGATCCTTACAGGAAAATACATTTCTTTGGTTTGCTGCTTGCTGGTATGTACATTGTGTAGGAATTTAGTGGTTGTTCATTTGCCTCATTGACAGCCAACACTAAAATAACTTTCAGCATTTAGCCCAAGGGCAAAGAATGCTGAGCCTTCAACACTTTTTTTAACTTCAAATGACCATTTGTGTTGGCAAAATAGCATTTTATAAAGCTGACTGAAATTCACTTTAATTAGTGATCATATATTTTTATCTGTAAAATCATATTCTTGATAGCCCTGCAGCTGATGTAGTCTAGGCAAAATGATCGACCACATCTATTTCTAGAGTTAAAGAAAGAAATTAAGCTTTTCACACCGTCATATGTACATCACAAATTAAGCCTAAGAGGGAACCGTTCTTTTCTGGGTAGACGGCCTTTAATTTTCTGAAGTTTTCATGTTCTTTGAATGAAAATCCTGAGAAAACGCAAAGCATTTTCATCATTTAATCTCTGTAAAATACCCAAAGTTAAAAATTGCTATCAGAATGTTAATTTGTTTTAATTTTTCATTATATCTTTTTGAAGTGTAATAGTGGTATCTTTAAATTGTCTGTGGCTCTATATGTCTGTTTTAAAATACAGTAATTCGTGGCTGTGTGGATGGACATTTAAAATGTCTTTGCTTATTTTAAAGCATCTACCAAGATGAAAATTTCATAAAAAACATAATCACATGGCAGTCACTCCAATAATAATTTCATAATTTGCTACTCAAAATAAAGGACAGAAAGGAAGGTAAATTCATAGAATCATATATTAGCCCTTGCGTCCAGCTGCAGTCACAATGGGAAACTTAGGACGATTCTTTCTGACCACATGTGTATTGTCCTGTTAAGCCATTCTTCAGATTATTGTTGCTGAATTCTTCCTTGTCAGACTGACTGTTGCTAAGCATTGTAAATTTATTTGAGAGGAATACTCCTCTTGTGCTGCTGCATGTGCCTTTGCTACATCCCAGAAGTCATGGCATAGGAAGCTCCAAATCAGGAGTAAAAAAACAATAGTAGAGGAGTTAGAAAAAAGTATCAAAATGTACAGAGTTTCTGACTTGTTTGGACAATTCCAAAGGCTGAGGAATATCTAGCAAAGCCGTACAGCGTATCTGCTTTATCTAATATTTCTTTGTTTCTCTCTCCTGCTGTACAAGCCAGAGAGATGTGCAAGGATACCTGGGGTGGTAATAACCTTGCTAGCATTAAGTTTTCTCAATTTTAGCAGTTTTTATTGCCCTGCAGTTTAACAGCAAAAAAGACTAAGCTGAAAAATGTTTTATCTAGTAACAAGGGAAAAAACTGTTGTGGCATCTCTGATTGGTTACACTATTTCATTACACTTGTGTTTTCATTAGGCCAACTGACTTGAGGATACTGAGAAGCTGTTATCATAGTTTTTCTGTCTTTTGCATGCAGATGGGCAGTAATTCCCATGATGTACCCTGCTGCTTCTTTCTTCAGTGTCCCTAGCACTGCTTATGTTGCATTGTCTTGTGTTAATCTCTTTGTGGGCATCAATAGCAGTGCCATTACATTCATTCTGGAGTTATTTGAAAATAACCCGGTAAGTAACGTTTTTGTTGACACCTGGTTTTAAAGAGTTGTGCAAAGGGTGTCCAAGCATAACCATCCCTCATGGTTTAACCTGGCAGCCAGCAGCTAAGCACTAGACGACTGTTTGCTCACCCCTTCCCTTCCCCTCCAGCTGGATGGGGAGGAGAATGGACAAAAGGTAAAACTTGTACACTGAGATAAAGACAGTTTAATAAGGCAATAAAGGAAACCCTAATACTCCTACTCCCACCACCAGTACTACTACTAATAATAATAATGAATATGCAAACCAAACTATACACAATACAATTTTCTCACCACACGATGACCAACTTGCAGTCAGTCCCTGAGCAGCGATCATGGAACCCAGAACTCATGGATTTTATGAATTTTGCAAAACTCCCGAAAAAGACCAAACTTCTGGAAAACTTCGAACTCACAGACAAGAGAGGATTTGAATTCCCAGACAAGAGAGGATTCAAATGGATTTCTGCCCCCAACCAACTCCCACTCATAACCTGAGCGTGACGTCCGTGATATGGAATATTTCCACTGGCCAGCTGGGACTCGCTGCCTGGCTGTGCTCCCGCCCAGCTGGATTTCTGCCCCCAACCAACTCCCACTCATAACCTGAGCGTGACGTCCGTGATATGGAATATTTCCACTGGCCAGCTGGGACTCGCTGCCTGGCTGTGCTCCCGCCCAGCTCCTGCACACCTGCTCATGAGCTGAACATGGGAAACTGAAAAAAGTCCTTGATTTCTTAGCAACAACTAAAAACATCAGTGTTATCAACATACTTTTCATACTAAATCCAAAACACAGCAGCTACTGAGAAGAAAATTAATTCTATCCCAGCTGAGACCAGGACACCGTCTCTAACAGTAACTGTCTTTCTCTGCCTTGCCATTTTTTCTGGCAGCAAATGAGTGGGGAACTTGCTGAGTAACTGCAGGGACAGGTGAGCAGAATAACCCTGAGAAATTACTCCGGGCAATTGATATCTTGGGTTACACACACAAGCAATGATGTGGAGTGTTTTTCATCCCTGTGGGCAAACTGCTGTACACGCTTGCAGTTGGGGAGGAGGGTCATGGCACTTTGTGCTTGCTTCTGCAGCTTGGTTTGTACAGGAAGAAGTAGATGATAGAAAATCATAGTCTCACCACTAAGTCAGGAAAGACACTTACTCCAGTTAGTCATTGCATTGGAGGAGGTGTTCTGCTTATAGTAGCATTTTGAGAATTCCCCAGAAATGGTTTAATACCATCAGGAAGGTGACAGAAAGTACAAGAACAGACAGAATACAGTGAATGCCAAAATTAGTTCTTAGAAAGGCTAAGACATCACTTTATAAAACACTGTTGGCTTGTATGCAGTATTACTACTGCCATCTCTACAGCTGGTGATACTCTGGCTGCTGAGACTGACACCCTTTCTACATCTGACAGCAATCCAATTTGCTATCATTACTGATAGCGCATTTTCAAACACTATGTGCTGATCAAGCATTGTTGTTTGCCAGGAAGGAGAAACAGATCTTGGTTCAGTTCATGGTTGCAAGGGCCAACTTTACAATACTTTCTGTCCCTGATGTTCCTGCATTCTCAGCCATGCTTCTTGATACCGCAGGGTTCAGTCTAGTGCCATTCAATCTGTGGGACAGCAGGCCAGTATTGTTATCTTTGAGAATATGTCTCCATTGCAGATACTGTGTCTCCAGAAGGAAAATTGCTCTCTCTGGATTCAGTGTTTGTGCAGCTAGGCTGCTGCGGGCACTTAGACTGTTTTTGGTATCTCCACATTGCACCAAAGTCTGCTGTGTAGTTGTGTCCAGACACTGGTACTTTTTGGTATTGTGGCAGTCTTGATTATGGAAATATTCCAGCTATAAATAAAGATGTTGCAACAGAAAAATACCACTCTTTCTTGTTGCTCATAGTTGCTGTTTATAATACCTGACACCAGAATTATGTGTTACCTCTGCTACATAGAGAAATACTCCATTACAACGATCAGTTTCTCTCCTCATTGACAGTTCTTCACAAGGACCTTGTCTGGTGCAGTGTATGCCAGCATTCTGCTGTGCTGCATTCTAGGCTGCAGGTGCTTTGGGCGTAACTTGATAAATACTCTGTTTTCCCTGTTGTAAGAACATAGAACACCCCATTTCTCTGACACGACAGAAAACTTTTCGCTCATGTTGTTTTCTTAAAGAAGTCTGGTTTCAACTGCTTATTGCATTGTTTCTGTTTCTTGCAGTCTTTGCTGAAGTTTAATAAAACATTGAAAAATGTGCTGATTATCTTCCCGCATTTTTGCCTGGGCCGTGGACTCATTGACTTGGCCGTGAACCAAGCTGTGACTGAAGTATACGCTAGGTTTGGTAAGTAAGAACCAATAAGCAACAAGTTGTATCAGTGTCACATGTCCCGACCTTGGATGAGACAGTTGGAAGTGTTATTTTCAAAAATTAATGCCTGTTTCTGAAATTCTCCCCTTTCACATCACCAGGTGGATAAGGAGTATGAAAGTTCAGCCTCTCTGAAGGAATCATAGTTTCTGATACAGCTGCCCACAGTTTCTGAACTATACACCCAACCAGTAGCCTGTATTGGAAATGAACTCATTTGTTCAGTGCTAGACTCTGGTGTCTTTTTATCATTTGTTCTGAAGTCCTTAGATCATTACAGTAAGATACATTATTTCATTTTATTTCAATACTTCCGCGGCCCTCATGTTAATGCTTAAAGTGGCTGCTGTTCTTCAAATACATCCTGTTAGGATATGGCTGTCTGATACCAGAGAACTTCTTACCAGAAGAATAGTCATATACCAGAACTCCTCTGTTTTTATTCAGAAAATGTCTTTCACATAATCCATGCAAATTTTGTGTTATGATATCCAAATTAGTGCATATTCAGAGAGGTTATATTCATTTTTGTTCCCATGCAGCAGCTGGGCCTGGAGTGTACTTTTTTAAGAATCTTTATAAGACATTGGAAAATTGAGACATTGCCTGATCATGATCAAAGAAAGTACAGACTAAACTATTATGATTATGCCTTTTATTCTGAAAAGCAGTGTTTTGTTTCAGCAGTATTTGACCTTGCTTTCTGGTGCTGCTTCTCCAAAGGTGAGGAGCATGTTTCCAATCCTTTTCAGTGGGACTTTGTTGGAAAGAACCTGGTTGCCATGGGTGTTCAAGGGGTTGCATTCTTCATTCTGAATCTCCTTATGCAGCACCGTTTGTTCTCCACAAGATGGTATGTCTGAAGTCTTGTATTAATGTTCCTCTGTTAACAGGGTGAGGGTCTATTATTCTCTATATCCCTCTTTTTTCTCTGAATTTTTCAGGGTTTTTGATCTCTATTTACTTACCTGATTTCATCTTAATTTGTTGGTATCCTGGTTCAAGAAAGCATTTACAAGTGTGCATTATCTTAACAGGATTTAAGAATGTATTATTAAAGAAGTGAGTTTTCTTGAATTAAGATAGTAATGTAATTTTTTTTTAGATTAAGATGCTGTAATAGTGTGATTATAAAATGACTTGGAAAGTTTGCAGTGTCATAAGTACTGGTATGAGGTACTAGCCTGACATCCCAAGACAGGAAATCTAGTCCACTGCACAGGACAGTTGCAGCCTGAACACTGTGCAAGCTTCCCCTCTCTGCTGTATAAATGTGCCTCTATCTCAGTGAAAGCAGCTGCCTTCCAGGTAGGAGTGGGTCATTTGATTGCCAACAAGAGGACTAATTGGTACAACTATGAAAGTATTGTCTTACAGGGAGATATACTCAAAAGATCTGTGGAAGGACTATCATTAACTACTGAAGAGCATCCAAATAGTGAAAGCTGTGGCTGAGGGGCAGGTTGTATCACATCAGGGACTGACAAGGTGTGCTCTTTTGAGCAAGCCATTTCCTCCCTTTTTAGTATTTAGAGATTAACTTTAAAAGGTCAGGGATTCTGCCAACAGCAGGCATGCTCCAGCCAGTGTCACAT